CGATACCAAAAAAGTTACTGACGCTGGTTTAGTCAAACCCTGTTGATGCTGATTTCACAAGTGCCTTCGTTGAGCATTTTTATCGCCAAAATCAGCATTGTTCAGTGTTCCACGAGAGCAAATCAGCATCTCTCTCATGTCAGACTTCAAATCAGCATCTTTCTCATGTCAGACTTCTCCCATGTTTTCGAGATAAAAACTGAGATTTGTGAAATCGAAAGTAGAAACGAAACAGCAAGTTTTCCCATTTTACGTACAATTATATCTATACTATGGAGATTCTTAGAAGACGTAGGACTCAGTGACTCAGATAGTAGAGGAACATCGCTGAAATTTCTGGAGGATCACTCCGAAATTCTAAATACGTGATTTTGAAAGTTTCCATTCAAAATGCTATCAAGTTTAAGTTTACTGAACGCACGACGTTCAGCGTTTGATGTTGTTGAGCTAATAGCTCCTGACTGAACTCTATCTTCTAAATAGGGAAACATTTTCAAGAAGCTAATTAAGCCTACTCACATGGCTTCATTGTGACGCACACTGATTTAGCACCTCCCAACCTCGCATCCATGTACATTTTTCCCAACTGACTAAGAAACTCTTCATTTGAGAGGAGAGTCATCGTCTGCAAAGATTAGCAAATTAGTTAAACATAAATATGGCTTCTGTAAGGAAAGACAGAAAAGGAAATTCAAGAAGTGACAAAAATCAGCGGATAGCAAGCATTTCCGACATCTAGCGGCAACAGCCAGGACAAAATGAGCAAATTTATTCAGCAAAGACCGAAGACAAAGCCGAAACGCTACACGCGGAAATTTCTGTGCTATCGCGTAAAATTTGATGTGTGAGTTCACCAAACGAGAAATTGCGGGCGAAGTCGCCGCAATTCCGGGTTTGACCATGCTTGTGTAATTTCTCGCGTATGTTTTTGATTTTGTTACAATGCAGGCTTTGTTCTCTTACTACAACTTTAGTCCAGAAAGCATAGCGGCAATCTCAGATCACCTGTAGACGTCTTTGTCAGACTTGCAATCAAATACATTTCTATTTTTTGTTACTCATAACATTACTGAAAACATGATGATCGCATTTACATTTATAGATGTGTACCTGCGATCACGATCTAATCTACTCTTTCGTTGCAAAGTCCTCGAACCCTGTTGCAGATCAATCAGCATGAATGGCAATAAAACCAGTTTTACTTTTTTTCGAACTTTTGTTCCCCTGAAAATAGTTACTACCGAAATCATCATTTTCTTTCTACTGCATCTTTTCTGGTGATAGTAGTCATAAATAGCGCAACTCAAATCATTCTCAATAGGGGTACTAACAAGAGACGGAACTTGATCAAAGTGGCGTTTCTATACAAATGCATACTATCTTGTAGAGCAAGGAATGATGACTTCAAATCTGCTTTCTGTATCTGCAAAGCGCTTCTCGGAAGGGAGTATGGAAATTTTTACTGCATAAGTTTAAAAGCTCAGTTGCAATAAAATCCAGAACCTTGTAAGGTATACTCCGTGAGCTCAAATGTGGCCATGACGACCATCAGGGCGTTTTATGGGATATAGAACTTCAATATAATAAACACATGTAATTCATTACTCTTCAAC